GGGTGCAGGGCAGGGCAGGGTAACCCTGCCCTGTGATCACCTCTGCTGAAACCTATTTCCCATTGTACATGTACTTGACGGATGATAATCACTTTTAATATTTTGTTGTACCCACTCAAGTAGTTTCTTCTTATCATTCGTATGAAATAAAGGAGTATTGATTTCATTGAAATCTTCTGTTAATTCACTTATTGTTTTCGTTGATAAAAATGTTCGAGCAATTTTAATACTATGTAATGTTTTATTTATATCATAAGAGTTTGATAACAAATTTGGATCAATAACTGGTTTTGAAAATGGATTCTTATCTAATAATGTAATACTTCCACGAGATTTATAATGAAATGTTTCAGCATATATCTGAATGATTTTCTTACCATTTATTTCTCCTACATCTAAACCATGATAATATTCTCCATTTTCTTCAATAGCAAGTGCACCCCACATACCAAATATATTCATTGGCAATGGAGTTTCTTGATCATGTAATGGTGCAGACCAAATTTTTATAAAAGTATGATCTTGTAAATTCTTTCCAACACCTTGTACATTAGCCAAACATTTGATCTTATATTTATTCAATTCGTCACATGGACCAATACCACTTAATAATAATAATTTTGGTGTATCAAATACTCCAGCAGATAGAATCACTTCTTTTCGACTATAAAAATGAACATATTCTTTTTTACCGACATTATATGTTGTTATACCAATAGCTTGTAAATTTTTATTAAATAATACTTTTGTAACCTGTGTAAATACCAGAATATCAAGATTTTTTCGTGGTAATATTGGTTGAATATATGCATTCCAACTACTTCTTCTTTCTGCATAATTATTTGATATTTGCTTAGCCATAAGTATCCTTGCTGATACACCGCCTTGTCCTTGTTCAGAATTTAAATTATTTGGATTTGGATTGTATTTATAACCAATTTCGATTGCACCTTTTAATAATTTATGCATAATCGGATGTTTTGGATCTAATTGTGTAGGTGAAATTGTTTCTTGAATAGAATCCCAATAAGGTGATAAATCATTCCATGACCAACCATCAATTTTTCCCCAACGTTCATCAAAATCTTTGCGATTACCAAGAAGAAATACCATTGCATTCATACTATTGCAACCACCAGTACCTTGTGCTCTTGGTAATGGTATGCTACGATTTCCAAATCCAACTTGTGCTGTTGAAACATATCCACGTTCTATAAGTGGATCTAATCTTACTAAATGCCATTGTGATGCATTTTGTACGATTGGATTTAATGATAGCCAATAACCTTGTTCAATTAATAAAACTTTATTTCTTGGATTATCAGAAAGTTTTCTTGCTAGAATACTACCAGCTGTCCCAGCTCCAGCAATGATATAATCATAACAGTTGTTACCAAATTGGTTTAAGCATTTTTTATAATTTGTAGTATGCCAATGAAGATTTTTATCGAACTCATCATTTGAAAAACTATATGTTTCAGCTATTGCTGAATAGAATAATGTCGTAAGAATGAAAAAATTGACAAAAATCTTTTCATTTCGATCGTGATTCATCTAACTTAATCGACTGACCTCACTGTAACGAAACAACTACTCGTTCGTGCTTTATCTAATAGAATGAATATGAAATAATGAAGAACGGATAAGACAACGAACAGAGAAGAAAGGATAATGATCCACTATCTATCGTCAATGAGGCGAATCGGTCAAGAAAGAAAGTGGACACGGAAACAAAGAAAGATAAAAGAATGAGAAATGATAGATGTGTAAACATATATACGTAGCTATAGATTAACAATGTATTTTAACATAAAAGCATAACAAATAAGTTAAATTATATTTCAATACGAAGAGTATAATGTGTTATAGTACCTCAGTAAGCACTAAAACGTTGGCAAAAATAATTTTTCATATGCAATTTAATATGCTCTATCACCTGAGAAAACCATTTAAAAAAAACCGTTCTTCTAGAAAACCAAGACTTTTGGGGCTCCATTAGCCGAAACGACTATGATATTCGGATTCACCATGGTCGATTGGCTATGACAAACTATATTTGACCCCGAAAGGGATTTTCAAGTTGGTGTACCTTCCTCGTAAGTTTAACTTCAGACCCGGTTTAGATTAAGTTATGAATCGTAACTTATGAATCCCACTATGTAAGAATGAGAATTGAAACCAACAAATACTGATTTATTTCCTTTTTTTTCAAGATTTCTTGTTTTCCTTTATTTCTATAATTCAAAAAACATCATTTCAGTTACTGCCTTTATCTGTTCACGAATACAAAGGGTGTTGGATATTGCTAAAAAACGACCGGATTCGAAACCTGAAAAATCATGGATCCACAGCTCCCTACCTTTCGATCAAACTAGCTACGAAGTGGCCACACCATATATGACTAAACCTAAGAATAAATCTTCAAATTTTGCATAATGTAGTTCGACTTTATCTTAGATTTTAGTAAAATTTCTTTTAAAATAAATATATTAATATAAAAAAGAGATAATATAGTTCAATATACTATTTTTATTTAAATTATTGTTGAACCATTTGCCAATAACGACTATTAAGTGCAATTAATTGTTCATGAGTTCCACTTTCAACAATTTTTCCACGATGAAGAACACATATCAAATCTGCATTTTGAATTGTTGATAAACGATGTGCAATTGTTATTGATGTTCGATTCTGTATAGCATTATCCAATGCTGCTTGAACTATCTTTTCACTTTCACTATCTAATGCACTTGTCGCTACAATATAATTCTAAATATTTATTATATAAGATCGAATTAAGTCTTTTTACCTTCATCAAGTAATAAAATTTTTGGATTTCGAAGTAATGCTCGAGCAATCGCTAAAAGCAAACAAATTAGTTCCTAATTCAATAATTTATTTTCAAGATAATTTTACCAATCCTTTGTTTTTGTCCACCAGATAATTGAGTTCCTTTTGCACCGCAATTTGTTTCATATCCCTTTATTTTCAAAACAAAATTTTCATTAAAATCATTAAATAAGAGTTTTACCTGTGGAAGACTTTGAATAAAATCATGAATATTTGCAGTTTTTGCCACTTGAATAATTTCCTCTAATGTAATATCTTTTCGATTATTATCACCATATGATATATTTTCACGAATTGACATATCAAAAAGAGTTGGTTCTTGTGAAACAATACCAACTAATAAAAACAATTTAAAATAAATAAATATAATTATATATATATACTTTGTGATCGATACCATTGGAGATTAAGATCTCGAATATCTTTTGAATCAATCAACTATACGTGATAAATAAAGATAAGCAAGAAATAAAATAAAATAATATACGAACAATACGACCAAAATTAGCATCATAAAATCGTTGCAGTAATTGAATAGTTGTTGATTTTCCACAACCAGATGTTCCTAAATTTATGAATAATTCTTCTATGTTAATGTAAAAAGATGAATACATACCAACAAGTGCTATTTTTTGACCTATAAAAATATATGAACAAAAAATCATAGAAAAATAAAATAATAAATACCAGATTTTATATTTAATTTAAAATTTCTGAGTATAGTTGATTTCATTCGATTCGGATAAGCAAAATAAACACCATCAAATTCGATCTCACCAGTAAAATTAGCCTTAAGAAAAACGATACAATTAATAATGAGAATAAAGAATATTTTTAATTATCACAAACAATTTCATCACCATCTTTTGATTGATTATCAATTTCTTGTTTTCGATTTAATAATTCAAATATATTTCTAGCAGCTTCAATTGCTTTTCCATAATCAGGTAATCTATTAAAAATAAATTCATTTTTTATTTATCAAAAATTCAATTAATAAAAACTTACGATGTTAATACACGACCTGATATTCGAGAAGTAAACATTATACAATTCATTACTCTAAAATATTTTATTTATCGTATAGAATTTCATTAATTAAAGATTTTTCTATTTACATAAATATTTGTTGAAATGTAGATGTACCTTGATCAACAAGATATGTACTTAAATAGACAAATACAGCTACACCAAAATAAAAAGCACACGTTGTTACTGGAAATAATATGGCTAGCTTATGACTTTGTTTATACGATAATCTATAGGAAATACAAATTATTTTTATAAAGATAGATATATAAAAATACCGATAAATAGTATCAATTGTTTGAGAATATTCATCATAAAAATGATTTTCTTTTGTTAATTGCATTACTGTCCGAATATTTTGTATTGTTTCCATAGCCAACTATATTAAAAATATGATTAAAACAAAGAATAAAGTGTCTATTGAATTGATATTTGTCTAATGATGTCATAAGGGATGTGCCGAGCCATCTTGAGGGTGGGTGGGTATGGGTGAAAAGGATAGTACCCGCATCCACCCGAGCTCGATAGTCTCGGTACATCCCTAGATGTCATCTTTATAAATTCGAATTAATTTTAGCGAAGAATAAAATATTAACAAACCTTTCCAGGCTTTTCCAAAATTTCTTTATTATTCCTTGTAAATTTAATACTTGAACGAATTTTAATAATATTACCAAATAATATAAATGGAACAAAACATATACCAACTAATGCTAATTGCCAACAATATGCAAATGAAATAAGAATTCCAACACCAACTGCTATAGAATGTTGCCAAAGTAAACCAAATCGAGTACCAATTGCATCTTGTACAGATGATGCTTCACTTGATAAACGTGTACATAATATACCAGTACTATGTTTAGGTTGCTCAAAATAAGATATTTCTTGACTGAGAATAGCTCGAAATGTTTTTGATCGAAGTCTTTTTGTTAAAGATTCACCTGATTCAGCAAACATATAACCCTTAATAAGAAAACCCAATATAGAAAAAGATGTGATATTAATTATTAAAAATCATACTTGAATCGATTGAAATATGAAAATCATTATTCCTATACCAGCATAAACACTAATACAAATATATATTTGTTTTTTTTGATAATCTCTGTCACATTCTTGAAAAACCTATTGAAATAAACAATTAATATTAAAATTCAAAATATATTTCAATAATTAACTGTTGCTAATTTTGTTTGAATAATGCAAAATATTGGTTCTAATGCTCCACTTAAACAAGCCATTATACATCCAATTAAAATTAAAACCCATTCTGGTTTATTCATTTTTAATATATTTAATGTTATATTTTGTGTTTTATCCTATTTTAGAATTATTTTGCTATTTGAATTATATTATGTTTGAATTTTCTTACCTTTTCATTATTTATCTCTGTAAAGTTCTTCTCATTAGTAATGTTTTCATATCTTGAATTCATTCTTCCATATATATTAGATAATATTGATGTCGCAACACTATTTACTGTGAACAGACGAGGTCTTGATTCTATTAAATTATCTTCTACTTTTGAAAATGAATCTATTTTATTTTTGTTTTGATCTTCAACTATAAATTCATCTTCTTCTTCTTCATCAATATCTTCTTGAGAATCTTTTAAATTTTGTTGTATAACAAGATTATAATATGTACCATGAATATTCATTAATGAATTATGATCACCTTCTTCAACTATTTCTCCTTTTCGCATTACAATTATTTTATTTGCATTACGAATTGTTGATAAACGATGTGCAATTATTATTGTTGTTCGACCTTTTTTTTTATAAAATGAAAATAATTAGTTTATTTAAAACAATCAAATACCTTGAGCAGCACGATCCAAAGCTTCTTGAACTAATTTTTCACTTTCTCTATCAAGTGCACTTGTAGCTATTAGGAAATAAATAAATAAATATAATTAAATACTTAAAAAATAATAACCTTCATCAAGAAGTAAAATCTTTGGATTACGAAGAAGAGCTCGAGCAATAGCTAAATAAATTAAATAATATTTCATATTAAAATATATTTTATAATCTACCAATTCTTTGTTTTTGTCCACCTGAAAGTGCAGAACCTCGTTCACCAATTATAGTTTCATATTTCTACAAAAAAAAAGGAGTTTCATAAAATATATTCAAAGTCATTATTTAATTTACCTCTGGAAGTTTCATAATAAAACAATGTGCATTAGCCATTTTAGCAGCTTGTTCAATTTGTTCATTAGTAGCTGAATTTAATCCAAATAAAATATTTTCACGAATAGTTGTTTGAAATAATATTGGTTCTTGACTAACAACTCCAATATTTTGTCTTAACCAATTAATATTATATTCGTTTAGTTGTTTTTCATCAAGAAATATTGAACCTGATTGAGGATCATAAAATCTTTGCAGTAACTGGATACATGTTGATTTTCCTGATCCAGACGAACCAACGAGAGCTATTGTTTGACCAGATTTAATATCAAATGATAAATTTTTAAGAATAGTTGTATCAATCCGTGATGGATAATAGAAATTAATATTTGAAAATTTTATATTACCAATTAAATCTTCTTTTATTAAACCTTTTTCATTATCATTATTAATCGTCGATGGCTAAAATAATTAATATAAGTCTATAATTATTGAAAATATTTTATTTACTTCACAAATAATTTTCCATAACATAAAAGCAGAAACTCGAGCTTCATAAAATGTTTGCAAATAAGGACTCACTTGTCCCAAAGAGAATATACCAAAATTAATACACATAAATACCTAAATTACATTGAACTTAAATGTTCTATCACGTTAGCGTTTTATAGAAGAAAATATTTTATTAATCATAAGGAATACTTACAGTAAAAACATCTCCAATAGTATAGTTTTCTTCCCAAATCAATTTTGTTCCATACCAAAATCCTACAAATGATAATAATATAAATATAGAAAACAAAATTCAAATTAGAATCAATACCCAAGACATAAATAGCATAAACGAGAAAATTTGTTATGCCCGCTGTGATACCACTAGTTATGCCTTTTTTAACTGCACATTTCTTCGCATCATCAAGATATCGTTCATATCTATATGATAAAAAATATATCATTTAGTTGAAATTTATAATAATTAAAATCAAACCGTTCTATTTCTTTTTCTTGTCCATTATATGATATAACTGTATGAATTGAACTTATCACATCTTCAGCTACCATTCCAGCTTTTCCATATGCCTTTAATTCAATAGCAGTCATTTTAGTAACAAACTATAGAGAATAACATATTAATTATTATTAAAGAAACAAATATTACTTTGAATAAAATTGTTATTGCAAGAAATATTACTGGTGTTAATGAAAATATAACAAGTGCTAACTTCCAACCTCTAACAAAACCTACATAATAAATTCATTAATTAGTTCATTCTTTGAAAAAAAGAAAATGTACCAATAATAATACAACTTATAAAAGTCGTAATCAATTCAATAGATGAGCCAAGATTGTCACTAATACCGTCACGAATCTTATTAATATTATCGGTTAGACATAAACTAAGTTCACCAGTTTTATGTGTATCGAAAAAATGAATATCTTTTTTTAGAATTGATTTAAATAAAATCTTTCGAATAGTTTGTATTTGTTTCTCTGCAAATATTTCAAATAATGTTACTCGAATATAACCAGATATAAAATTAACACATCCAATAGTTATGAGCATAATTATTTGTTTTGTTGTTTGACTATTAAAATCATAATTAATATTAGTTAAATTTGCTCCAGTAAAATTACACAAACTAAACAAAAATTATTTATTTGTATTTTATTGAATATTTATTAGAATATTCTTACCGTGTTGTTGAATAAAAATTAGTTGATGTCAATTTTACACCCGATGGACAATAAGTATGAGCGAGAGATGTGAAATTAAGTGAACATAAATTAGATGCTCGATCAGTAAATGAATCTGTTATATCACCAAAGATTAATACGCAAAATGGAAGACAAAGACCATATATGATTGAAGCAATAATTCCAAATATAATGCAGATTAATTCAGTACAAGTGGCATAGCGAAACTAATAAAGTACAAGAAATCAAAATTTTCTTGTTTTTAATGAAATGGTCTAAATAATGTCACTTACCAAACTTCGAATGCTCACTAGTTCAACGGGTATTTTATCTCGTCTTTTAGTACGACATCTTGTCCAAAAATTCGCCTTTTCTTCTTCATTTTGATTAATTACTCTATAAAAAAAAACGAAAGGAAAGTAAGGCTTGTCTCGACAGTTGACTATTTCTTTTTACTTGACGTCTATACTATCATTTGATTCTACATCAATGACATTTTCATTGTCCTTCATAATTTCTAAATCATGTTGATCATTGATTGTCCGCATTTGTTTGAAAATAACTATTAAAATATAGATTAATAAATTTTAATTATATAATTAACTAGGATGTGTACATCTTCAAATGAATTTCGTTTTTCGCGAAATAAAATCTTTTTGAAAAAGTTTTTTTCTATCAATAGATAGAACGTATTTCACTCTATTTATTGATAAAAAAAGAATTTTTTTTGAAGCGTTCTACCCGATTTTATTTCATGTTTAATAGTAGGTGAATATCAGAAAAATCTAGAAGATTAAAGATCAATCATACATGTCCGAAACGTTATGAAAATAGACCATTCAATAGTCAAACAAGACAAGCGAATGTTTTTTCGTCTATCTTCTCATTTTAAAATTCTAGTACTCTCAAATACCTATAGTTCTTATTTATTTGGTTTAAATTACTTCAATTTCAAATATACAATAAAATTATTAAAAAGAAAAACGCTTACTATACTTTATTGCAATGAAACTATCGTTCAGTTGTTTGGTTAAATATGTAGTTATATAGATAAAGAATGTAAAGATTTGTCACTGAAGTATACAGTATTTATATGACTTGCCTACGAGACGCTCTTTTTTTGATGAGTTACATAATCAAATAACGATAATAGCTTTGAACCTGTCCTCCTACATGCGCATATTATATCAGTGGGAGTAGTTTATGCTTGACAGGGTATGCGTGTGGGTGTGGGTAATGAAAGAAAATACCGATATCTCTAATTTTTAAATTAATAAAACATGTCTGGATCAAATATCTTTCTTTTTATTTCGAATATTCTCTGCTAAAATTCGTGATTTTTTTAATTTATTTTTTTCAAAAAATGTTTATAGCAATTTGACTGCATTAACACAACATAAAAAAACTATAAAAAAGTTTGTTTATTGACTTTCTATTTTGCTATAATAAGATAACATCAACGGTTGATTATTTATAATTTCATCGATTTGTTCGGTATTTGTGAACGATAAAAATGCATATCTAAATTATAAACAAAATAAGAACTAATTGTTCGTTGTCGATTATATTCAGCTTGAAGATTTGTACGATGAAATATAAATGCATAACACCGAAAAAGAGAGTATAGAAGACGTCTTCACTGTCATCCTCAGGTTATAGATATCCTTTATGAATAATTTAAAAGATTTTGTTTATTTGAAGATAAAGTAAATATCGCAGCAGGCTCATGTGCTTTAATTAGTGTTGATGAATATTTGATAAGGCAATTGATTACGATGAACACGTTTTAAAAATAATCATTTAATTGCACCATTTTCTTTTAATAATAATTCATTTTTATAAAGATATTTAAAAATCGTTATCTTTTCTAATATAACTGATACGAATCAAAACGAAATGACAGAAGAACAATAGACATACTTTTTTTCCTTGATAATATTTATTTGTCTATTTTACCTTGAATAAGAAAATAATCATATTATGTTGATTCATCCAATTTATCATAAAAATAAAAGAACGAGAAGGAATAATTCATTTTACCATGATTTAAATGTAAAAAAGAACCAAAAACATTTCATTTAAAGAAATGACTAAAGATCCATATGTAAATGCAAATCAATGATCAAAACTATTTTATGGATAAAAATCTTCGAATAGATTTAATTTTATTCCAAAATGAAAATTGTTAGATGGATAGCTGATTTATTTAAAAAAAGGAGCAATTGAATTAAATTGGTTCAATCAAAAAAGATTAAATTCATTAAAACAAAGTTTATTTAAAGCAACAAGAATAACAATTCAACGAAAACTTATCTTTTTAGGATTTTTACTTTTAATTGAAGTAAACTTTTCTGCTTTTTTTTTCTTTAATTTAAAAAAAGTTGTTGAACAAGTTCAATATCAATTTGTATAAAATTTGACAAATCCTGACGAATTATTTTATATATAAAAATAGTATTTTAAGTGAAAGATTTTATAACTATAATAACGTCGTTCTATAAGCCTATTTTTGAAAGAGAAACATTAGGAATATGATCTTTCTTTCCTACTTTATCTCACTCCTTCTATCTCAATGGAAGATAACACATGCATCTCTTTTCTCACATCGGTTTTGATAAATCTTTTTGTGTTGTTAAGTAATTGAATAATTAGATCAGGATACTAAAAAAAAGAATAAGAAATATTTTATTAGAAAATGCTTGAGAAATGTTATTTAGTCAAAAGATAGCTAGAAAAAGAACTAGATTTTTAGCCCATATTTTGTTCTCTTAGGGCAATACTATGTTGTCTTGTTTAACGTTTTTTCTGTTTTTCTTGTCAAATAAAAGAACTTAAGAAAACAATGACATGATATTGTTTCATCTGGTCAAAAATAGTTTTTTCGGGAACATATGCATTAACCGATTTATTAATATAGAGAAACTACTATTTATCAAACCTGAAATATCTATGCCCAATTATTAATGTCAATTTGAATAATTTCATCTGCATTAAAAACTGTAGTTATATTCTTATCTTGCAAGAATCAACCTATATACAGTTATTCATCAAATTCATAATTATCTAGTTCTTATATTCTATGTATATGATATACAAGAGTGCCATCTTATAAGACACGTGTGGATCAGTTTTTATTGTATGATCAAAATACCCATTATAACTTAACTATCATTTATATTGTCAAAAGAAAGGCGCGAAATACTTGACCATTAATTAATTCTTACAATATAATAAAGTTAATCAAAATAAAAAACAAGTCAGATGACCGACAGTGATATAGACGATTTTAAAATAACATTTTTCTACAAATTTAAATCGTTAGAATGGGATTATTTACAATCATTATCAGATAACAAGAAGAAACTTCTCAGCCGCGATGATCAATTAGAAAATTATAATCCATGTCATATACTTGAATGTAAGTTTGAGTGAATCTAAAGATAAACGCTAATTATTATCTATACTTTAGATGGTGAAATTTTTGCTACATTATGCGGTCTCAAACCGTGTACTCTGTTAGCACATTACGTAATGCATGAATATGCAACAGGTCTTGTTGAAAAAGCACTAAAACCATTGTTTGATGAATATGAATTAGAAAAAGAAGGATTTGAATTATGGAAATTGAAATCACCAGTGACAGAACTTTACAGAGGTGGTTGGATCTTTGCGAATAAAGTAAGTACAACGATTTGTTTTGCCGAAGATCTTTTCTTATATTTGATGCATTTAGAAACATGAACAATATTCACTTGTAAAACAAGTTTTCGTGACTACCTCTTTATCGAGCAATAAGGTCGATATTGGACGTGCACTTGGTTATCCACTACCATATGGCAAATATACAATTGAATATATCGATGATACAGAATCGAAGGAACGTAACACATGTTGTGTGCCAATACTTGAATATAACGTTGGTGCCGCTAGTGAAGAAAACTTTACTATTATTCTATTTCATCTTGATGAATATGCAAAATTATGGAAAAAAATTGGCAGAAATCTGACTATTGATCTTTCTGAACATCCATTAATGGAAAAATGGTTTACGGACATAAAAAATGGACGAAAGAAATAGACATTTTTTTTCTCTGTAAACGTACACTTAGCTTAGTCATTGGAAATAAAAAAAATTTCTATTACATTCAGTCTTTATGATCATCACAGAGGAAATTATAAAATTAGCATGACTAAAGAGAAAAAGGTAGGTGTTATTTGACAACTAACTGGTGATACAGTTGCGGAGAATACTTTGGCATAGTGGGACACATAGAATGATAGAAAAATGGAGTTGGTTTTCATTAATATATGTATACGGTGTGATGTTGTACAGAACTTGGAATTGGTCTCATTTCTGAATCTTTAAGATGTTCAACAAACAGAACGTCTGCATACAGATAGATTTTTATATAAACACTTTTTGATAACGTTAAAATTATTTATCCAACGTCATTTCATTAGGCAGAACAGCAGTAATTGATTGTTATTCAAATTTAATGCAAGGACAGTGGGTGTCTATCTTGAAGCGTTGACACAATTTAAATGAACACCAATATCACACATAAGTTGAAGTACAGTTTCATTCTAATTAATCGAGTTAAAGACAAATATGTGTAGGGACGAGTAAAACCATTGAAAAATAGAAATATCTTTTATAATACACAACGTGGGTGTGAGTGTGGGTGTATCTTATTTGTCTCACCCACACGCACACCCTCTTAGTATAAGATGAGCAAGAGCAGTATAGATCGAGAAATAGTAAATGCCGACCATGTCAGGTTTCATTTTGTTTCAAGATTAATCAACTGATTAAAGGAAATAATTTGAAGAGATTTATTGTTAATTATTTAAAAGAAAACTATATTTATCCAATCAGTACGCATATTAATATCAGAACAGTTGAGTTTCGCCTGATACTTTGATATTCGTAAGTCTTAGAAAATGATCAAGAAATGTTCTATTTCTTGTTTTTAAATAAATCCTCATTAAATTTCTGTATTGAAGCTTTATCGAATTATCGTGTACATAGGTGATTGTTTCATTTATTAATGAATATTTTTTTTTTCTAGATGCAACTTTAATTACTCTACAAGTTTTGTTGCTGGAATGATAAATAATGACTATTGTTGTATGTATGACAAATATCATTGTTTTAAATAAAAATTTAGGATGAAACAATGAGCAGCAAAACACAAAAAAGAAAAGAAAAAAGAAAAAAAGCCCAGGTCAAAAGCAACGGCAACGTAAACGACTGTAAACGATTTAAAAACGGTATAAAACGACAAAATCAGTGTTATCTCATGACCGTAATCCGGCATCTCAGAAAACTGTTAAAATAATGTGAAAAACGGTGACCGTTTTCTAGCAAAAAGAACGGTTACTATTCCGGGATGCTGGATTACGGTAGAATACGGTGAGAATTAATGCAGTAATACACTGTTTTATAATTGTTTCAGGCCGTTTAAGACGCCATTTCCGATCGTCGGAACGATCGTCCTGGGAAACATCGCAGGAATAATTTTGGAAATCAAATTGAAGAATCAGGCGGAGATGGATTACTTGAAAATGATGCAGCTAATCGTGATATTGAAGTCGTATCTGAAAAATGTCTTGAACATAGTGTACTAGATAATTCAGTTTTAGACAATCATTTTCGAAGTTTATTTAAAATATTTTCAGCAATAGCACAATTTATTAATCGAGCTGAAAATGTTACAAAAAAAGCATCATATCGTTTCTACTCTGGCACACTATGTTTTATTTTATGGTTCTGTGTTAGTGCTATTATCATTAACACGTTGGGATTAACGGAAAAATCATTACTAGCAACAAGAAACAAGCAATTGAGTCTACAGGAAATTTTAAAAACAGAAATGAACAAAAAAATTTATACAAGATACAAGAATATTTGATTCTTGCTTAACTCAATATGTTAAAGATCATTATATATTAATAATTAAATTTTTAAATGAAGATTTAATTAATGTTGATATTAAAAATGAATATAATGACTTCCATACTTTATTATGCACTCTGCTCAATATATTTATCGATGCGTTGCCATTTATTTTAAATCTAAGTTGATTTACCGGCTTAGCAACCATTATTGTGACATGTTTAAATGCTTTTATAAGTCATACAACAACCTATAATGTCTACAAAAATATAACTTATATGAATTTAATTCTGGCATTTATTTTACTCGCATATCATTTTGGAACTTCATTTGCAATCATCATGAATGAATTTGGAAAATGTCAAACCCATAAACCCCAATCAAATAAGAAAAAATCAAACTAACAATAGTCTAAAATATTAGGTAAACATCTTTAATTTTACTACTGATTCTTATTTTGCTTTTATTTATTATTTAGACTCAATATGATTCTGTCTTCGTCCTGTTACTGTTCTATTTTTTCTTTAATTGTTAAACTGAATTATTTTCATTAAAAATTATCTTATATCTTGTTCATTATTATTAACTTGTTATAATTGATTGAACCAAAAACATCGCATTGAGAAAAAGATGATTCATATTTCTAACTTTCACACGACTATTCAATCTATACAGTGAATGTCAAAATTGTCGGATCATCTCTTGTACTGCATTTTTGTTGTTCTATTTTTCATTGACAACAACAGATAAAAATCTCTAGTTTTCATCACACTATTTTATTGTTCAAAATGGTTCAGAATCAAATTGAAAAAATTGATGAAAATATATTTGAAGATGGTCTAGCATAGAATTATTTTTATATTTTGGGTGGGTGTGGCTGTAGATATCACAAACACAATACACCCACCCTCAGAAAAATTTAACGTCTTTATGAAAGAAATTTTTGATGAAGAAGAGAAAGATTAGTTTAGAAATCTGAAAGAATATCATGCTATGAATAAACTGAAAATTTATTTTTAACAGAATGCAAACTCAGTCGCCAAGAGAAAGTAATTACAAATTTGATTTTTCCAGAAATATGTGTTTGTTAGCTGTACTACACGTTGGCTATATACAAGTGTGATGCTTTTTCTTTTTTGATACATAAACATTTAATCATTACATTATCTAATCATGTAAAAAGCCATCATATATCGATATCATATTGACAGTGCGTGTGCGGATAATGGTACAACAACCGAAACCACACTCACGCTTTTTGAACACATACGTATACAGATATATTTTTTTAATTCAAGAATAGATTATATAAAAATGAAATGGATAGATGATAATCAAAGTCAGACAGTGTAACTGTCAGTAGCAGCTGTCTATTTGGAAAATGTTGTAATTAATGGGAATGCCCCTATCGTGTTCTCATTAGCATCCTGTGATTGTGTTAATTCATATGTTACAGTTGCACCATCAATAACACCGCGAGATCGGAAACTACGTGCTCCAACATTGAACGAGTAAACACCAGGTGCTAAATAGACATACGCTACTCTTGTCAAAGGCAGCATAATTCCGATAACACCTGAGTCTACTTGCTGGAAGCCATTCGACATGTCAACGATATCTATTGATATACCCAAACTATAATTAATACGCGCAGCGGTATTCGGTACAACTTTGTTTCCGATAATCAAGTAATCATTGACCATAATTTGTACGACTAGGGGACCCTGTGGAGAACTATATACGCCAGCTAGGAATGTAACTTTGAACAAGGTGTTTCGATTGATATGAAATGCTTCATTTAGACCGGTAACATACATGAAGTTATCCATTTGGGATACTGCTTGACCACCCCTTGGTTGATATTTCACGTATAGGGCTTGTAGTGCTTTGCCATCAACTGATTGGATCGCAATCGGCGTAGAATTAGTATCTATTGATGAGAAATACGAAAAATCGTCCACAATCTACTCCGTTATGAGACTTATGCCACACTTACCTGCTGACGATGCCGCATTAATCCAAAAAAGAAGAAAGAAGGCAGACACAACGGTGTTCATGGCTTAACAAGCTAACAGTTAAAGAAGTAAATTATTTTGTGTTTGAAGAATTATAGTGATTTTCAGTTACTTACAGTGTATATAAGCGTATAAAGAAAGGAAGTAAGTTTTTTCTCTTCAATAAACAAATTATTGAGTCGTTAATAGACAGTTCTGTTACTAAGGGGCTGAGTTAATCAATGGCATACAATCTAGGTAGAATTATCGACTGATATGAAAGTAGTTCCGAGTAGAGGCTTTGACGATTATAACGAACCCTTTTATGCCATGTTCCACCACTTATGCTTCCAAATGCATTAATAATCGGGGTCGAAAACGTAATAATTATTGAGTAGACACTTATTAAAAAGTATATTCTATGAATAATCATACGGAATATGAAGTAGGAACTGCTTCCGAAAGGAATTAATGAAATTATTATTCATTCAGCATGAATAATAAAAAATAGTAATCAAACAGGAGAAGTTTCATTTACCATCTGAAACTGTATTCTTGTTTTCAGTAATGTATTTTATTTTAGTATCTGAAGAATATACTTTCTTCAACCCCTACAGTAGAAATTTCTCGATTATTACATTACAATAAAAACCAGTTGTCTTATGCGCACATTCTTTTGTTAGCACTTTTTATTTTTAAAAATATTACTGTTATTCGTATGAGATATCTAATTCGAGAGTGAGTGTGGGGGGTAGACATGATTAAAAAAAACACTCACAACCAACCACCCATACCCACATCCATAGCCTGCAAAAAATAAAAAAATGAGCTGCTCTCAAGTCGGATGTTGAAAACGCCTTAGGAGACTTGTAATGAAAAGAAACGAAGAAAAAAATACACATCTAGTCATCCTCTCTTGTTTTTTCAATTTCGTCGAAAAATCATACTCTTCATGTTTATTCTCTTGGAAGTTTTAAACACTTTAAATACTTAATGTGCAGTATTTTGTAGGTTTTTCTCAGAAATTTGCTATTAAAATTCGCAAACAACACAAAATTGAGAAGAAATTGAAGTATTTGAAGGTGAATGTAGGTGTGGGTGTAGTTGTGGGAGTTGTTCTTGTCAAATAACCACAACCACACCTACCCTGCCAAAGAGAGTTTTACACAACAAAATCATTTTCGTGTATAAGAATTCAAGAACGAAAATAATGACATTATGGGCATACGATAGAAAATTTAACGTTCGTTTAATGTTGATACATACCAGATGAGTCATATGGGAACGACAAACTCTTATCTATACAAACAAGAAGAAAAGAAAACTTTAAATAAGAGTGAGAAGATAATAAAAATGCAGAATATGACCATGTTTTCTACGTGGATGAATATATTCGTCCAACTAGTAATGGCAACAAGAGAAAACATATTTGCCATTGTAAATAGTAATGGAGGTCTCATGAGACAGTTTGAAATATGTGACTAAAATAAAAGAGCAACGATAAGGCTACGTTGTGAGCGAGAAGTGAAAATTGAGATGAAATTTTATCTGTCTGAAAACATTTCGAATTACTCTTTGAATATGATGTTCTAGTTAAAATAGCGGCGTACCAAATGACAGACTAGATGTCGTTTACGGCACATGAAAGAAAGATATATTTACTTTTGAGTTTCAACACAAAAAATAATATTCGCGGAACGACCATTTATAATATCGCAAACAACGTTAGCAATAGTCTAAAATGTGACGACATGTGCTGGTATGAATCATTTTCACGTCAACAAACATATATGAATAAGTGAGATAAGATCAGTTTGATAACGCTTTAAAGACTATCTTCTTTCGTTGTTTTTCTTTCACTACTTCGTAAAGCAGCAAGCGAACAACGAAAGACTTCTAGCCATACCATAAGAGCCTTTAAACTTGAGCGCATTCAAACATATGGAAGATACCAGTGCTCGAATGAATGATTCATCGATCAACATGCAGATACGTACGAAAAGAACGAATGCTGCACAACGATTATCGCCCAAATATCCTTGTGTGTTTCATAAATTATTGAATGGTTCTGATTTTATGTTGATTTTC